GTCGTTTGGGTTTTATTTAAGAACGTTTTAATTTTTTCTGCTCAATTTTTTGTTATACGACGTTTTACTCTTACCGACGTTATAATGTTACACAACGACGGTAAGTTTTTACCGCCGTTTGAAACAAAATATCACGTCTTTTTTTAAAAACCTCCGTCGTTTTGACTGATTTACCACGACGGTTACTATTTGTATTTAACACCCTTTGTTTTCTTGTATAACAGGTGACTTAAAATGTTTAACATTCATATAAACAAAAATTCACGTAAACAGCAGGCCATTTGGAAAAATCTACACGGCACTCCTGAACAACCAACAAGTGTAGAGTGTGGCTATTACGTGATGCGATTCATGAGAGATATAATTCATGATCCAGACCTAAATTTCGAGAAGAAGGTAAAACGCAAAATTTTAGATATACTTTCTTTATTTTACTACGTCAGATTTTTGTTTAAAACTGTCGTTTGTATCTTTATAACACGTTGGTTTTTTGGTTTATTTTGCAGTTTGAGAAGAAAAAAGATAAAGTTCAGTATAAACAAGAGGATATTGACGAAGTTAGGCATGAATGGGCAGAATTCGTGAACAACTTATTACCGAAGGATAATTGATGTACATAAATATTTATGAACAATGTTTAGGTTTATTTTAGTTTATTTAAAATGTACATAAATATTTTGTTGTAATCAAGCGAACAAACATCAAAAAAATTAAATTTTGTTTTAAAACTTGTTTAGTTCCCAAACACTAATGTCTGATTCTAATTTACACGTCTCATACGTGTACACAATGGTCGTCTTGCTGTAACTGGAAATATAACATCGACGGCAATTCTTAAAAACGACATGTAATAGTCATAAACACGACGGTTTATAATTAATTCATCATGTATAAATGAATTTTGTACTTATATACTACGTTGGCTAGTATAACCTTATCGACGTCTTAATAATATACAAAGGCGGATATTCTTAAACATCCGCCTTTGTATAAATAAACAACGTCGGTTATATACACTAAAATGAAGTGGTAATACGATAATCCACGTCAGTTATCCAAAAAAGACGTCGTTTTCTATTCGTTTCGACGTCTAATAATTTTATGACGTCAATTTGTGATGTTTAACGTCGTTGTAAAAGGATACAACGTCGGATAGGTCATTTTTCATTTAATTTTTAATGACTTTTATATTTTATTTAATTCCATATTAAATTCAAAACTAAATCCAAAAACTAAACTGAAAACTACCGAGCATTGAAATATTGTCTCTATCCTAAAGCTTTAAAAAATATAATTTTAGAAATATTTTTTTATTGTATTTAATTACTAATATTAATAATATATTCAAAGCAAAATCCGAAAAATATACCGGCAAATTCTATGCACTGATTGAGACAATATCTTGCCCGTTATGGCCTGAAAAATGTAATTTTAGTTTTCAAATTTCAAATGATAACAAAATTCAAAATAATTTAAAGACAAAGCATGGTACTCCTTATACTTTACATAACATAACCCTAAAATTTATGTGATCCATTGGTGCCCGTAAATTCAAAATTATGAAATCCATATTTTAGCCTACTATTGTAGAAGGCATTGTTGTAAGGAGTCCATAGCAATTTTCGGTTCATTTTTCTCATACTTGTATATTTTTTTTAAATTATTGTACAATTTAGGGTTTAGGGTTTAGGGTTTTTGAAACAACGCCGGTTTTCTCCCGCTGTTTTTTGGTCAACTACATAAACCAAGACTAATTTTATTCAGTTTACGACGTCGGTTATTAAATAGCGACGTCCGTTATGTGTACAACGTCGGTCTTGTATAGAAACCGCCGTTGTAAATAAGAATTAGATGTCTATATAAGTATTGACCGTCGTCGTTGAAAAACGCGGTACTTTAAAATTTTTGACCGCGACCTAAAATTTTCAGAATTTCACTTTAACCCTCAAATAGTTCATTCTCTCTCTTCAACATAAATTTGTTTGAAAGTTTTCGCTCTCTCTCAAGCAGTTGTTATGTTCTCCCAGCTCTCTCTCAATATCCATGTAAGTACAACTCTAGTCCCTTTAACCCTAATTCTCTCAGCTCTCTCTCAAGCTTTTGTTATATTCTCTCAGCTCTCTCTCAAAGCATTGGGTATGTAGATTCTCCAAGCTCTCTCTCAAGCAGTTGTTATATTCTCGCAGCTCTCTCTCAATATCCATGTAAGTACAAC